CCGTGCGAGATAATTTTTCTCTTTGTATTCTGTCTTACATATCTATAAGTATACAAATTGTCCATGCTTAGAATATTGCTATCACATATGGTCCGGATGTCTGCTGTTTACCTTGAGCTCAAAAACTATATCAGCAATATTATCGGTCCTGATCTGGCAGCTCGGCGTCAGTCACTTACCCACCGCCGTAACGTTGCCTCTCTCTGTCTTTTTTTTTATAAATATTTTCATGGTAGTTGTTCGGAGGAGCTCTTCGCTATAGTACCAAGACACTATAAATTTAAGCGCAGTACTAGATTGCCGTCGAGATCTCATCAATTTATACTTGAGCTAGCTAGGTGTAGCCATAACATCTATGTTAACAGTTTATTTTCTCGCACTTCTAGCTTATGGAAATTTCTTCTGGCTTTATGCTTCCCGGGCAGTTTTTATCTGCAAAAACTGAAATGCAAAGTCAGTTGGTATTTACTCTCCCCCTGGATACTCTTTTTTCTCCCTGTTCAATAATGTTTCGGTTCCTAATTCTTCCACACTATGTAACTCCTAGCGTTTTAGCGGCTTTATTGCCTTGCTCGGGTTGATACCGATTATATATATATATATATATATATATATATATATATATATATATATATATATATATCACGCATTGCTCTTCAAGCGAATTGGATTCCGCTCTCCACTGACGTATTTTTAAAATTTAGAAAACGTTAAAACTTCCGTTCCTCGCTGCCATGCAACCAACGATAGACTAGGGATAGAATCGGCCGTGTTTGGAATTCGGCTTGAAACAATCTGATGTCTAGCCACACTGAAGAGCTGTGATACAGCGAAACAGTCTTTGGGTGATTATATATATATATATATATATATATATATATATGTGTGTGTGTGTGTGTGTGTGTGTGTGTGTGTGTGTGCGTGTGCGTGTGTGTGTAGACAGAGATGTTAAGGAATGAAAAGAAACAGAGATGATGACAGACAGAGAAACCGTAAATAATGGGTGTACCTCTTTTGAGCTCAAAAACAGACGAAAAGCAAAATGATATAAAATATTTTCATTAACAAATCAATTGAAAATTAAGAAAATGTCTGTGTGCAAAGTTATGCAAATACACATATAATAAATATCAAACTAAATATTTATATGAGTATTATTACCTTTCTTTATTGAGGGAAACATTACAAATTAAAATACTTGAACATGTAATACCAATACCATTTTTGTCGCAATACTCATAAATCCTTTTACAATCGATGACCTTATTTATGTTTCGTAATAGACTTTCATGGTAAAATGAATAAATCGATGACATTACATAATCAGACCTATTATTTGTTTAGCATGGTCAACTGATATCACACTTAATGATATTTCATTTTGGAACCATATGAAGAAGAGAAATCCCGAAACATTAATTGTGGAAGAGACTCCCTAAATGATACTTCCTCGTTCCTTACAATCTTAATCTCTTCAAATCTAGGCTTACCCTATATCTGTATGATATTTCCTCATTAGGTGTTCCTCTTACTTCTCTACAACAATTTTATTCTGCGTGGGCATTTTGTAAAGCAGTGTTTCTAAAACTTTCCTTATTTGTGGCCCATTTTTGGTGTCAAAATAATTTCTGTCCCGGGTAAACACAAATAGGCATTTCATGTTGCAGGAAAATACATTTTATTTACAAAAGCAACATTTAGTAGATAATATAATTCCTGTTGAATTATTACACTGTTACTTTTTGTCTGCCGACCCATTTAATTTTTTTTTCTTTTTTTTTTAAGCGTTTCACCCCAAGCAAAGCGGGAAGCCACTAGGACGCAAGAGGTTACAGGAAATAGCAAGATCAGATAGGAGTGATAGAAGAAAGGATGAGGGTAGTGGATAGATTAAGGCAACTGGAGATGTCGATTGACATTACACATGAATAGCTGGAGATTATAGTTCACAGGGAAACAGGAAAAGGAAGGGAGTTCCACAGACGAAAGGTGCGAGACATGAATCTATTAGAGTAGAAGAGACGGCTACATTTAGGAGTTTCGACAGTGAAGGGGTGAGAGCGGGATGCCAGCCTCGTAGGGCGCTGGAACTCATGACGTCTGGGAACCAGCGAATGCAGCTTCTAGGAACAATTTCCATGAAAGTATTTGTAGAACAGACAGAGGGAGGCGACGGCGCGTCTGTGAGAAAGTGACTGTAGACGAGACGCCAGGGCAGGGCCAACCATATTGCATATCCGCCTCTGGAGCCTATCAAGAACCCCGAGGCAAACAGAAGGGGCGCCAGAGCATATATGGCAGCAATACTCCATGCAAGGACGAATTGTAGATTTGTATATCTGGAGGATCGACTCAGGGGTGAAAAACTTCCTAGCACGGCTCAGGAGCCAACTTTCCTCGCAGTGGACGAGGCAATTGACTCGATATATTTATTCCATCTCAGGTCATCAGTCAACGTGAGATCGAGAAGCCGCAGAGAGTTGCTCTCGAGAAGTTGAGCGTCAGACATTCTAATGGAGGGAAGGGAAGGCTCTCTGTGGTGATTAATATAGAGCAGTTTTGTCTTCGAAGCGTTGAAGTTGACTAGCCAATTCATGCCCCAATTCACAA